TTAATTACCTATACAATCAGTTAACTCAGTTGTGGCTTGTAGGTGCAAACTACTGCATTGTGTTTAGTCTTAACTATCTCGGTCTCCTCTCTACATTATTATCCAAGTTAATTAGTAATCAACATCAATAAATATAATATTACAGAGTTGGGAACAGTTTTTCAGCATTTCAAATTTTCTGCAACAAGAACGAAAGTAGGAAGGGTAGCTTTGTATTCACAGTTATTTATTTATTTATTATTCATAAAATAAAAATTCGCAAGTCTCGGAATTTGTATAATTTTCTCTTTAAAAAAAAAGATAAGAATCATTATCAATTAAACTAAATAAATTTATTGAATTTTTCCGAACTAAAAATACAGAAACGTAAAATATAAAATCATAAGACTTTTTCACTATAGTTAGCTAGCCCACTAACTTTCTTGTAAGTATTTCTTTGGTGGTTGATATTTCATATTTTGATTATATTAATTTGAGTTTAATAATTGGTTTAATTTATGCCTATATTATAAACGATGGATAATTTTAAAATTATAATCCAAATATTATTGTTTCGAATATTGCATATTGAATTGCAGTATCGAATGTGTAGAAATGATGTATAATTCTTAACTTGATATTGATTTTTAGAAGTATTATAAAATAACGATATTTTTTGTACACTATAAGTGACCAGTTCTTTGAAAATATAGTTGGGTTAATCATTTGAATCAATAATCCAAACATGATTGAACTTATGGGTGAGTTTAAAAACAAATTTCTAAAAACAAATTTTGTAGATTATTTTAGTTATTTAATTATTTTTATCTTATATAATAATTAAGCATATGTATCCTTTAGAGTTATTTGGTTTAATATAAACTAACCGTAGTAAAAGGCAAATCATGAATTGGGGCTAGAGTTTTCATGGACGGATTTGATGTAGTTATATGCATTAGCAAGGTGGGCACCACAAGAGAGGTTTTATTTCATTTGTTGAGGGAATAAGATTGTCCTTCAACTACATTTTGAATATGTTGTTTGACAAACATTTTTTTGATGAAATAGAGTATGGATGGGGAATGCTATTTTCTTATTAAATTTGTTATTGCATTGTTTAAAATATTTTTAGGTTTAGATATTGATATATATGTATAGTTTTTTAAAGCAAGAAAAACAAATATTGACTAAAGATTATGTTTAGATGTTTTCTATTTATGATATGCTTTCCAGATTTTTTTTCTTTCTTTGTTATGTCAATTTACTTTTCAAGCATAGACAATCAATTGACTGCATCATTAAACAGACAGGCGATGAATGGTTATTTATGAGTGTTATGACCGTTAAGAATACAATGTTCAGACATTGATAAAAAGGTTATCATAATTTCAAAAACTGAACATAATTTTCTGATTCACCTTAAAGTGATATGAAATTAAGCATTTCAAATAATTTTAAAAGTTCAGGATACACGTCGTAAATACATGATATGCAACTGATATTTCGATCAACGAGTCGGACACCAAACTAGTTACCAATATGGTCATCTTCGAAGTAGTTAAGAAGCTGTGTGGTTGGTTTGGTTGTTAACCAACATAAAACATGGGAGTCTTTGGCATAAATGTTCCTTTCTTCTATTACGATATTTTTGATAATGACAAGTGTTGGTAGGTAGGCAAATGCTATATTAATAGGAGTTGATGTGGTCATCCAACCATATATGGATCCAATGGAGAGTGAGATAATCAAATATAAGGAGAAATGATAACCATAATGTACTAGAAGTGAGTTTGGTCAGACTCAACTCGATCTTACTTTTATTCAGTTTCATTTTAACTATATTTTGAAAGGATTCTTGAAATGAAATTAAATCGAACAATAGTCAATCAAATATAAATTCTATCCAAATATCGGTCAGGGTTAATGAGTCACAAAGTGTTGCCCACCTAGTTATAACTTATTGATAGACCGATAATTACACATGTTTTCACCCCTATTCTGAAGCCGTTTGAGATGTTGATTCTCGTGTTTTAAGCCGATTTCACGCTAGGTTGTGTGTTTATGTCATATTTCAGGACCCGGCGTTGGAATCGAGGCGGAGAAACGAGTTCTGGGTCGAAAGGAGCCGAGTTGGGACTAAGGGGGCTGCAGGAGGAAAATACCCGGCCAGGTGGCAAAATACCCGACCGGGTATTTATCATTTTGGGCACCCGTGAGAAACAGAAGGGGGCCCGGGCAAATGGCTAAAATCCCCGGTCGGGGATTATAGAGTCAGACCGGGGATTTCCCCTGGCATGAAACGCGCGTTTTGAATATACCCGGTCGAGACCCAAAATACCCGACCGGGTATCACGACAGGCAGCAGATTTAAGGGAAAGGAAGGCAACAATTAAAGGGTTCCGAGTTTTTGAGAGAGAAAGCGATTCCTAGAGAGAGAAAGCGACGAACCAGAGTTCCCAAGTGCCATAGCTTGATCTTCATCACCATTGGAGCCCGGCTTGATCTTGGAGAAGTGCCGATTAAACGTCCAGGAGCAGAAATCCGTCTTCACAGTATGATTTCCGCGTCTGAATATGCTTTTGCTTCTTTCTCTATGGAGTAGTTCCCCCATTCATCTGGGTATGGGGAACCCTAGATTTGTATGCTAGGTCTGATTGTATGAACCCAAGTACAGAGTTTGTGAATTGATTATATTCGATTGAGGTTTGAATGATTGAATGACTTGAATCCTGATCAAATTCCTGTTGTTTCTGCTTTGACCTAGAATGAGAATATCTGCCTAGGTTGATAGAGTATCCTTAATTGAAGGTAGCGAATTGGTGACTTTAGTCTAGGAGCCAATTCGTTATTCTGTACCGAATTCAATTCGGTAGTGGAGGTTTGGTTCGTTAGGGCCTCAATCTGTTTACTCCGGTGGAGGTTAGTCGCTCGCTAGAGACTCAGATTGAGAGGGTCTGAAGACCTTTAGTCGAGACTTCAGACTATTTAAGAATCTTCCGCAGTATAACTTTCATAAAAACTGAACTTGGTAAATTGCAATCCGGCTTAACTGCAGTCTAGGGGGAACCTGTAACACCCCACCCATAATCTCTATGGTTGAACCCGTGGTTCAACCGCGCAGCCAAATCATCGGTGTTACTGGTTGAACTCGATCATCTCAAACATCATATCCGGTAATTAAACACAAACATAAACCGTTATCATACAAACTCATTATTCGAATCCCAACCCACTTATTGAATTTTACAAAATGTGGGTTTATTATTCAAACACTCAAAGCAAAAATCCTAGGTGACCATGACAGAACAGTGTTCCAAACTACCTCATGATGGTAGTACAGAAGGATAGGGCAGCCTCAGTAGTCCGATCCTAGTTGCACCTGCGAGCCTGAAAACAGACGTGGGTCAGCAACTAAACTGTGTGTGTGGATCTTTCCCACGACCTAATTTTGGGACCGCAATCAGCTAATCAAACAATCATAATCAATCATAAATTATTACTCTAGATGCCATCTTAAATCATCATATATAAATTACCGATCAAATTATCGAATCCACCAACTAATCATCACCAAATCAATTTATCCAATAAGATAATCACTTAATTTCACGAACACATAATGAATGCATGATATGAAAATTCCGGTTAATTATTAATGGCGCCAAGGTCACCATACACTTACCCTCGCTCGAGCAAATCATCATCCGTGGTGCTCATGCAACCACAACACTCAATCCGTGGTTTTTAACCACAACACTCATCCGTGGTTTTCAACCACAACACTCATCCGTGGTGCTCATGCAACCACAACACTAAATCGCATAAGCGAGCTAAATCTACCCACTCTCAAGGGGTGAGGGTAAATGCAGGCCCTTTCTATATCTACGTGAATTAATATGATCACGAATCAAACCATTTTCATTTTTCTCATCCATCACAATCAATCCGGAATCAATGTAATCTTACGGATTAACCAGTTCATATATATATTTTCCGTCGATTATCAACTCGACGTTTCAAAAAAATCAACTATTTCATCATCCAATACCAAATCACATAAATCATCTCATTCTCCCGTAAAGCTACTCAGCAGTACCATATCACCATTCCTCATCCAAAATTCATCAACAATATCACGAAATAGCGCCAACGCAAATAATTATAAATAACCCGATTGCGGTTAAAAATATCCTTAACTCAAAATTCACTTTCCTTCATTAAAATCCTCACAAAATTCATGTAACTGAATTTATTGACACCAAAAATCCATTTAATCTAGTTCTGTTCATAAAAATCAATTTAGACAATAAAATATCAAAAATCTCGTATTAACCATTATTTTACGATAAATTAAATTCCAACAAAACGGTAAATCCAAAAATCTCCCAAAAATACAAGAACCTCCATTTATCATCATAAAACAGGTCTGTCCAGTTTTTATATTTTTCAACGGCTCAAAACCGTGAAAATAATATTACACTCGGTATTTATCGCAAATCTCGTATTAAGCTCATTTTTACCGTTTTAAAGATAAAAACTCCACCAACTGTCTAATTTACCCTTTTCAGACCAAAAACCATTTAATAATCCATACTGACCATTTTGAAGTGATCCAAATCTTAAAGATAAATAAAACACGTTTTTACCGAGCTTTTCGTAAAATTCACCGTTATGCAGTTTTTAATCCGAAAACCATTTTCAAGTGAAATATTTTGCTCAACCTGCCCCAACCTCCTTTTAGACAAACAAAAATCTCTTAGATCAGTTTTAGACTCAATAAACCCAACTATTCATTTTTACGGGGAAACTTGTCAAATATCGATATTTACACCGTAAAATCCATAACAATCAAGAATAATCACCAAATCATCATATCAACAAATAAGTCATCACCCACAGTAATCCATCCATCCAAATATGCAAATCAAGCATAAATAATCGATGCAATAATTAAGGTCCTCTTAATCCCCACACACCTTAATTTAGCTGATTCCAAGTCGGGAATTAAGTTCTAAAATTCCAGAGATTGGCTCCTAAAAATTCTCCTTGATTCTACGGTCCTGTAGGCGAAAACGGTTCGTCGTTTGGACGTCAAACGAAGAAACTGCGAGCTAATCATCGTTAGTACGCAATTACGGATTAATTGTTAATTTTCTGCATGTCCCAAAATCTGCAGAAAACTGGAAATTTTCCTACCTCGCGTACCAACTTCCCGGCCTTGTTTCTCCCTCGTCTGAGCTCGGAATTCGATTCCGTAAACTCTGTGATGCTCGTGGAGACTTTCTCTTCGCAACGGTATCAAGCTTCGTAGCTGATACTACCTTTAATGGTGCTGGTTTGGCTGACGAAAAGGTTACGGCAAAAGTTCCGGCGAATAATTTCCGTTGAGTTGGTTTGACGATTGGGCTTTATAATCAGGTTTGTATGGGTTCTTGAACTTTGATGGGATCACAGAGAGTATGCTAGACCTTTGTTATCTGTCCCCTCTTTCCTTTCACTTCTAATTCACATATATAGGAGAGGTTTCCTCCAATGGTGGGTTTGAGTAAAGAAGAAGATGAAGGGAGGTGACCAAGCCTTTAAAGGCTATTCAAACTCATCCTCCCCCCTCTTTACTCTCTGTAGGTGCATTGAGGGCTCTTTGAAGGCCGCCTTCATGGTTCAGAAGTGTAGTGATCAACTTCCAAGTTCCCACAGTAGGCACCGCTAAATAAATGAAGCTGCTGCCAGTGCACGCAGTCAATAAAGGTTAAAATCAAGCAGGGTGCTTCCATTAACACAGATAATAGCTGGCGCAGCTGGTTAAGCTGTCAGCCCACCCTTAGCTGCCAGGAGGTCATTGGTTCGATACTAGCAACACACCAATTTATTTTTACTTCAGTTTTTAATGGTTTGTGAGTTTCCGAGTGGTTTCACGGATCCTATCTCGTATAGGATAATAATTAGTTTTTTTTCAGCCTCGAATCGTACTATATGCGTCCGCTACTTGAAAAAAAAATTATCCGTGGTCCGGGATGTTACAGCTCTCCCCCTCTTAATTAGATTTCGTCCCCGAAATCGGCTCGTCCCAAAACATCGATTAAGTCAGCACGACGACATGATAATTTCCCTAGTCCATTAAGTTCCTAATGGCTTAGGAAATTTTTATTTCATACTCATTCACTCACTCTACAGTAGAGGTTATATATTACAATGTACCCTACTCATATCGAGCTAACACACAAGGTACTAGGTCGACATACGTTGAGCATAAGCTTCAACTAACTCGGGGTACTTCTTCTTCATACTCTCCTCAGTTTCCCAGGTTGCAGCCTCCTCCTCCTGATTACGCCATATAACCTTGAGCATTGGAATTTGCTTGCTTCTTAGCACACGTACCTGATGATCCACAATGCTCACAGGTTTCTCTTCATAGGTCAGATCTGGCTCCAACTCCACCCTTTCGGGTTGTATCACATGAGATGGATCGATATGATAATTTTTCAACATACTCACGTGGAATACGTTGTGAATTTTCTCCAACTCACGGGGTAATGCGAGCTCATATGCCACAGGTCCTACTTTGGAGATAACATCGTAAGGACCAATGTAACGAGGCGCTAGCTTACCCTTTCTTCCAAACCTCATCAATCCCTTCCATGGGGATACCTTTAAGAACACCTTATCTCCCACATCATAGCTAACTTCTCGAGCCTTCCTATCGGCATATAACTTCTGGCGATCTTGAGCTACTCGCAATCTCTCTTTGATCACCTTCACCTTCTCCTCCGTATCCTGGACCATTTGTGGTCCAGTAAGAACCCGAGTACCCTCAACATCCCAACATAGCTGGGTACGACACTTCCTTCCATACAAAGCTTCAAATGGTGCAGCCTGCAAACTGCTATGGTAGGAGTTGTTATAGGCAAACTCCACCAACGGTAGTAAATCCGTCCAAGGTCCACCGGTTTCCACTGCACAGGTTCGTAATAACTCCTCCAAAGTAAGTATCGTACGCTCAGACTGCCCGTCCGTCTGAGGGTGATAAGCCGTGGAGAAATTAAGTCTCGTACCCATCGCCTCCTGCAAGCTCTCCCAGAAGTGTGATGTGAAACTGGGATCTCGATATGAGACAATGGATAGAGGAACACCATGAAGTCGTACAATGTGAGTTATGTACAACCTCGCTAACTCTTCCATACTTGGCTTGAATCGAATGGGGATAAAATGTGCCACTTTAGTCATTCGATCAACAATTACCCAAATGGCATCTTTTCCTTCCCGGGTAGAAGGAAATCCGGTCACAAAATCCATCGTGATCCTCTCAAATTTCCACTCTGGAATTGGCAGCGGCTGCAAGAGTCCGGCCGGTGCACGATGCTCCGCCTTAGTCTTTTGACAAACTAGACAAGCTTGAACATGCTCAGCCACCTCTCGCTTCATTCCCGGCCACCAAAAATGTGTTTTAATCGTGTTATACATCTTTGTGACCCCCGGGTGCATGGCATACATGTATGAATGGGCTTCCTCCAGAATTCTTCGTCTTAAATCACCCGACTCTGGAACCCACATACGACCATGCCTTTTTAGTATGCCTTCTTCCACCATGAATTCACTTTCTTCCCCCACTTCAACTTGCTTCAACTTCTCGATACACTCAGGATCTACTTGTTGACTTTCTCTAATTTGATCATGGAGTAGTGGTCGGATGCTTAAGTGTGCAATTAAGGTGGTGATGTCCTCCACCTGAAACTCCACACCCAAAGCTCTCATTTCCACTAATTCTGACAACCTTCCCTTTCGACTGAGTGCATCGGCGACCACATTTGCCTTACCAGGATGGTAATCAATTGTGCAGTCGTAGTCCTTCAATAATTCCAACCATCTTCTTTGTCGGTTATTCAACTCCTTCTGATCCATTAAATACTTCAAACTCTTGTGGTCGGTCATAATTTTGAACGTTTCACCATAAAGGTAATGCCTCCATAATTTTAAGGCAAACACGATAGCTGCCAACTCTAGATCATGAGTTGGGTAGTTGCACTCATGTGGCCTCAATTGTCGGGAAGCATATGCAATCACCTTTCCGTTCTGCATCAAGACACAACCCAAACCAAGATATGAGGCGTCACTGTATACCACATATTCACCTCCGTCCACCGGTAATGCCAGAACTGGGGCTGATGTCAACTTCCGCTTCAATTCTTCAAAACTCTCTTGACACTCTTCCGTCCATATGTATGGGGTTTCCTTCCTCAATAATTTAGTCAAAGGTGAGGCTATTTTAGAAAACCCTTCCACAAATCGACGGTAGTACCCAGCTAACCCCAGAAAACTTCGTACTCCCGACACATCCTTAGGTGGAGTCCAATTCACAATAGCTTCAATCTTCTTAGGATCCACCTCTACTCCCCTCCGGGACACCACGTGCCCCAAAAATAGTACCTCTTCCAGCCAGAATGCACACTTCGAGAATTTGGCATACAACTCTTTTTCTCTCAAAGTTTGCAATACCAATCTCAAGTGTTCAGCATGCTCTTCCTCACTCTTCGAATACACTAGAATGTCATCAATGAATACTATGACAAATTTGTCAAGATATTCATGGAAAACTTTGTTCATAAGAGCCATGAACACTGCCGGTGCATTAGTAAGTCCAAAAGGCATCACCAAAAATTCATAATGTCCATACCGTGTTCGGAAAGCAGTCAACGGTACTGTTTTCTCTCCCACCTTCAACTGGTGATATCCCGACCTCAAATCAATTTTTGAAAAGACCGTTGCTCCTTGTAGTTGGTCAAACAAGTCATCAATTCGAGGAAGTGGATAACGATTCTTAACCGTCGCCTTGTTTAGCCTCCGATAGTCAATGCACATTCGCATGGACCCATCTTTCTTTTTCACAAAGAGAACAGGTGCTCCCCAAGGTGATATACTTGGTCGGATGAACCCTTTGTCCAAGAGTTCCTGCAACTGTTCCTTTAGCTCCTTCAATTCGATTGGTGCCATCCGATACGGTGGGATAGATATGGGAGCAGTTCCAGGTACTAACTCGATGTTAAAATCTACCTCCCGTTCGATTGGCCCCCCAAGAAGGTCTTCAGGAAACACATCCTGGTATTCATTTACAATTCGTACTTCCTCCAACTTTTCTTCTTTAGTCACCTCAACTTGCACAAGAAAGGCTTGACACCCTTCCCTTAGCAACGCATACATCTCCATCGCCGAGATGATACCCATCGGAGTTGACTTCTGTTTTCTCAACCCTTGGAATATCATATGTCTACCATCATCCCTAGACAAGCGTATTTCCTTCTTTTGGCAATCCATCACTGCGCCGTGACTGGATAACCAATCCATGCCAAGAATCACATCGAACTCATTGAAAGGCAAAATCATCAGCTCTGCCTTCAATGCTACTCCTCCCATCACAACATCACAATCGTGTATCACGCGATTAACTACCACCGAAGTACCCAATGGTGTTTTCACACCCCATCGGGTAGTCAGCTCGGTTGATATGATATGCATGTTACTAGCACATTTCTCGGACATAAAGGAATGCGAAGAGCCAGTGTCAAACAAGGCATATAGAGCATGTCCAAAGCAAGTTATCATACCAGTGACAACATCAGTAGCGGCCTCCGCTGCATCTCTAGTCAAAGCGCGTAGTCCCGCCTGATTCTGGCTTCCCGCTCCCCGTCCCATGGGTTGCTGACTCGGTCCAACCCCTGGATAGGAGTTAGCTCCAGGTCCTCGAGATCTAGGACGTCCTCCCTGCCTTGATGCTCCCCTAGAAACTCCCGCCGATGGGGTTCTCGGGCCCTAAACAGATCCCACTGATGGTGCTGGTGCTCGGGCGAGTTGTGGGCACTGTGGTCGGGTATGACCAGCCTGGCCACACTCAAAGCAGATGATCCTACCTTGAGGCAAGTTATTACATCGCCCAAAGTGCATCTTCCCGCAGGTCGGGCATGGTGGATACCCAGCGGGTCCCGTCCTGGTCGGTGGAGCTGAATATGTCACCCTCGGCCTGGGATCGTATTGCCCTCCCCTTCGGGTCTGCTGGGTGAAACCGGCCGAGTGACTCGGTTGGACAAAAGCCTTCCTCTTCCTATCACCTGGCCTCTCCTTCCAGGATTCCCTCTTGGCCTTCTCCAGGTTCTCTTTCCTCAGGGCAGCCTGTTTAATGGCATTCAGGCTTACCATGTCAGCTGAGGAGACTCCCTCCTGGATGGTGTATCGGAGACCGCGAAGGAACCTCATGGCCAACTTCTCATCTCGGTCCGTCTCAATCTCACACCACTCCGATAACTCGAAGAATTTGATGTAGTAAGACAATACTGACATCTCCCCCTGCTTAAGATCATCGAACTCCCGCTGTTTATTATATATCCACTCCGGTGGGAAGAAAGTCGCCCGGAACATA